AGCATACAGAGAAACGTATGAAAGTTAGTATAAATCTAAGTTTTTCATTGTAATTTCAACTGCCTATCAAATATTGTAGATGACAGAATGAATGCATCGAAGGAGCAATAGCTAGAAACAATACAGGCTAATTGAAAAGCACGTTATATTGCCAATAAATATTGCTAATGAAAAGTCGCAAGTGATTGCAGTCACCGTGGGGCTTTTGTCCTCGTGTAAAAAGACTAGAAAAATTCTTAAAAGATCAAATTCTCTTTAAATAGTTCATTGCTAACAGCTCCTTGATTTGAAATTATTGAAATTATTCCTTCTTTTTTTAATCTAAGTGCTTCAATGAATCCCATTAATCCCATAGTCTTAGTAAATGAATTAAAAGAGGCGCTTGGCAAAGTTTTGACATTCCTTGTAAAATCAACCAATCAGTAGAAATAGCAATATCTGTGTAAATGTGGTCAAGGTTTTGAAAAGCATTCAGCCCCTTGGCACCCTCAGTCATTGTGACTAGTTATCCCTGTCATCTATCGCAAAAAATTTGACAGGTGCTTATTCTGTGTTGGAAAATAAATTTTTCAGAAGACGATCCTTGTTCGGCAGTTCATAGGTTATAAACAATTGCTTTGGTGCTGCAAATGCCTTGCTTGAGGACGAAGAGTCAAAAAGTCCAAACGGTACCTGTTTTGAGTTTTGTTCGTTTAGGAAACCCACACACCCTTGATTCCAAGTTTCGCGTAATGTACAACCTTGAAATAGCATGGTTGGAAAAAAGAACGCATTTCTTGAAATGAACAATGTTAACACTGAAATGCAAAAATCGAATGGTTGCCATTTCATTGTTATTCATTGAGTTCAACCCCGCTTTTCCTGAATGCTGTTTATTCTTTCTCGTCCTACACTAACATACATACTGCATCTCTTTTCTTATGTCTCTGATATAATTTTGAAAGTACGTTTTCTGGGGCAAAGAAAATTTCACTTTCTTGGAAAAAAGGACAGAAAAATATATAAAAAAAGGGCAGATTAGGCTTACGTGAGTTGAAAAACAACTAAATAATCATACATGGACAGCCTGCATTCGAGTCTTAGTAAACTTTATGCAAATCTTAATTTTATAAAGATTATCTCCTTTGGAAAGAAGAAAAATTATGGAAAATCTACCAACAGTGTATGTTGCAAAAAAATAAAACTATGTAGAAACTGATTAATTGACATTATTAGAAGGAAGCCTTGAAATTAAGCGGTGGTAAGCTTTAAACAAATGTGATACGCAAATGAGCTTCTTTCATGGAGTAGAAATATCGAGTACAAAGTACCAAACAGAGAAATAACGTAGCGCTTACCGCTAATATCTTCGACCTAGGTAAATAATTGTGAATTGAAAAAGTTAGTCGAGACGTCGCGAACACTGATAACAATGAAGGTGAGCTAGCACCTTCTTCTACCAGTCTTCTTCTTTTTGAGTCTACGTTGC